CCCACTTAGAGGCCCAACTTCCTGTCAGGTGGCATCTCCGCTTTCTGCAAAGGTCAGGGTAGGCACAGGTCTCAGCTGTCTCAGGTCCAGCATCAGGTATTCATCACAACGCTCATGAGACCAGATCCTTAATTTGCTCATACACCTGCCTTGGGTACCCAGCCTGTGCTTGTGGGGCAGCATGAGGACCCTCCCCAGCTAACATTTGGTATGAAGAGGGTAGACCTGCAAAATATTCTCCTTGGCCTGTAATGTGCACATTTCCTTGAACTCTTTTAACCATACACAATAGCTTATAGGAGTCAAAGCAATTCATAGCATTGATTTCCAGTCATGCGGAGTCAGCATGTAACTTTCTGCTATAGATTCCAACAATGTCATAGTTACACTCCACAATATCCCATTCTCCTCTGCCACTTTTCATAATTCCTTCACAACCTCATACAACAATGCTTCCCACTGTGGTGGCACGTGAGGTCGATACCCTACTGGCATGGCAGTTAGTATTTCCAGATCCTCCCTCCTAACAGCCTCCCTTTCAAACACTTCCCACCGATCTGGCCTGTTATATCTCTTCATACTCCCGTCATGGGGCCTGGATCGAATGAGTCGTCACTCTCAGAGTCAGACACTTCCTGACACAGTGCCGAAGGGGTCAATATTTCCTTCTGGTCATTCTCATCATTCAGACGGGTCCATACAGTTTTTAACGTAAGCATCATTTGCCCCCAAGTGGCCACATGCCGTACTGCCACGGCATCTCCATCTGCCATTGCCTTTTTAAGTCTTTTTCCAACATCTTCCCAAACGTCCTGCTGGAAAGTGCCATCTTGTGGAAAAGCAGACACTTTCTCTCAGCTCCATTCTAATAAAGTCACTAAATCTTTCCCGGAGACTTCCTGGTTTTACTTATACATCATGCATTGAAGTATGTCCAGGCTGCATTTCTGCTCTTGAGACATTCTGCCTCCCATGGTTAGCTGCTCACCTGTCTAGGTGATGGGTGCACACCAGAGCTTCTGCTTACTGCAATCCTGGTTCAGCTAGTCTATGCTTCTGGGTTTGGACTTTGTGAGCCTCCTTTATGGTCCTTGTTCGGGCACCATTTGCAGCATATGAAGACACAGACTCCAGTGTGGTCTACCAAAGATCCTTAACAATGGCAACAAGTGATATGTTCTACCATCTTGCATACAGCTTTGGCACACGATGCACAGCTGCAGTTCAACCAGTAGAGTAACTGATCATCCGCAGAATAGTCCAACGAGGTTCTTAATCATGTGCTAGCCATGTGGTTGTGATTTCTTCTTCTTCTTATGTCGTTTCTTTCTGTTCATGAGATATTCCTTACTGCTGTCCTTGAGGTCAACCTCCACATATGGGATGGACATTGCCTAAAGGCAGAATTCCTTGTTTGAGAACAGGAAAATCCAAGATGTTGTGGGGTGTTTCCCCAACCACCACTTCAAAACGAGAATGTTTCCCTGTAGGTCCTCTGTTTTAGAAACATGCTTGAAACACGATGGTTAATGTCACTAGAAACATGATGGTTGTTTTGGAGATCCCGTGCATTTGATATGGCCCTGTAGGCTTAGTGTCACTGCATTAAAACAATTGTCTTTATATGTAACACGCATTCACAGAATCACAGAATCATAGAATGATTGAGGCTGGAAGGGACCTCTAGAGATCATATAGTCCAACTCCCCTGCTCAAGCAGGGACACGTTGCACAGGATTTCATCCAGATGGGTTTTTAAGATCTCCAAGGAAGGAGACCCCGCAACGTCTCTGGGCAGTCTGTTCAGTGCTCTGTCACCCTCACAGTAAAGAAATTTTTCCTTGTATGGAAATGGAACTTCCTGTGTTTTAATTCATACCCATTACCCCTTGTGCTGTCACTGGCCCCATTCTTTTTACATTACATGTGCATGTTGATTAAATTTCCTCTCAGTCTTCTCTTTTCCAGGCTAAACAGGCCCAACTCACTCAGTCTTTGTGTGAAGAAAAGAAGGAAAAGAGGAGATGTTAGCATGGATTCACCACAGGGAAGTTATGTTTAACCAATCTGATAGCCTTCTACAATGGGTTGACTGGCTGGCTGGAAGAGCAAAGAACCATGGATGTTGTCTACCTTGACTTCAGCAAGGCTTTTGACATTGTCTCCCATAACATCCTCATGGACAAGCTCAGGAAGTGTGGGTTAGATGAGTGGACAGTGAGGTGGATTGAGAACTGGCTGGATGGCAGAGCTCAGAGGGTGGTGATAAATGGGGCCCAGTCAAGTTGGAGGCCTGTGGTCATCAGTGTCTCCCAGGGGTCAGTACTAGGTCCAGTGTCGTTCAGTTTGTTCATCAGTGTTTTGGAGGAGGGCACAGAGTGCACCCTGAGCAAGTCTGCAGATGATACCAAGCTGAGTGGAGTGGCCAACACTCCAGAGGGCTGTGCTGCCATTCAGAAGGACCTGGACAGGCTGGAGAGTTGGGCAGAGAGGAACCTCATGAAGTTCAACAAGGACAAGTGGAGAGTCGTGAACCTGGGGAAGAATAAACCCCAACAGCAATACAGAGTAGGGGCTGACCTGCTGGCAAGCAGCTCTGCAGAGAGGGATATGGGAGTTCTGGGTGACAACCAGTTAATTATGAGGCAGCAATGCACCCTTGTGCTCAAGAAGGCCAATGGGATCCTGGTCTGCATTAAGAGATGCGTTGCCAGCAGGTAAAGGGAGGTGATCATCCCCCTCTACTCAGTTCTAGTGAGGCTGCTCTTGGAACATTGTGTGCAGTTCTGGGCTCCCCAGTACAAGAAGGATGTAGATCTTGTAGAGAGGGTCCAGCGTAGAGCAACAAAGATGACTAAGGGACTGGAGCATCTATTATATGAGGAAAGACTAAACAAGCTAGGCCTGTTTAGCCTGGATAAATGAAAACTGAGAGGGGATCTGATCAATATGTGTTTATGATATATTTATCTCTGAGGGGAGAATATAAAGAGGAGGGGGGCCAAACTCTTTTTGACAGTGGCCAATGACAGGACAAGGAGTTATGGGTATGAATTAAAACACAGAAAGTTCCATCTCTGTGTGAGGAAGACCTTTACTGTGAGGGTGCTAGAGCTCCGGAACAGGCTGCCCAGGGAGGCTGTGGATTTTCCTTTTCTGGAGCTCTTCAAAACCCACCTGGATGTGACCTGATGCCACATGCTCTAGGTGTCCCTGCTTGAATGTGGGGGTTAGACTAGGTGATCTCCAGCCGTCCCTTCCAACCTCAACTATTCTGTAATTCTGTGATCCTGATTTCCAACAACCTAAGGGTCCGAATTGTCTGATGCAGGAAGGGTCCTGTATTTTTAGCTATTGCCAACATTCTCACCAGTGATAACACCACACAATCAAAAGTGTTAACAAAACCCCCAAGTTTGCTTAATGTACTTGTAAGGTGAATACTTCATGTAGCATGCTGACCAAAGAGTGATTTTTACTCCAAGTTGTTGGCAATTCATAGGGACAGGACAGATGACTTAGGTCTTGTCTTGTTTTCAGTCAAGCCTCAGTAATGATGAATTCCACTGCAATTGTATCTACATTTAATGACAGCAAGGCTTTTCCATCAGAGCAGAGGTGGAGGATCATCATTATCACCAGGTCCTCAGGCAGTTCCCCAAGGAAAACAAGCCCCTGCCCAAGCATGGCACAAGGGAGCTACCCTCTCCCTACCAACCTTGTCTATGTCTCTTCCACCTCACTGGGGACTGGAGCTATCTAAGCTCAGGGCACCTAATCACCGTGCATGTGATCCATGCCTAGAAAGGTGCATGGCAGGTCAAAGAGCATGGGAGGCAATGGGTCCATTGAGCAGCCCCATTTGGGACCTCATAGATGAGCCAGGAAGGGCTGAAGCCCCTGGAATCAGCTGAGCTGTGGATGCTACTTTGACTTCAACTCCATGCTGAGAGCAACAGATTCTCAGCCTTGACAGGAAGCAGCTTGTGGTAGGGCTGAGAACATGGTACTATCCCAGACTGTCCCATTTAGAGGCAGAGGAGGACAAGGCATTGTGGGGTTGGCCAATAGCTCTGCCCCTCGCTCGCCAGCAAGGTAGTCTCTGGGACAGGCAGAACCTTTCTAGGTGTGTGTGGTCTTTCTATTTATGAAGTCATTGAGGAGTTTTGATGGGAAGGGTCCTCAGGATTTCTCCAGTCCAACCTCCCACGCTAAGTATATGTATCTATGAGGAAAGGTGTAGCGAGCTGGGCCTGTTTAGCCTGGAGAAGACTGAGAGGGGATCTTATCAATGAGAGGGGATCTTATCAACGTGTACAAATACTTGAGGGGAGGATGTAAGGAGGAGGGGGCCAAAGTCTTCTCGACAGTGGCCAGTGACAGAACAAGAGATGAGTCCAAACTGAAACAGAGAAAGTTCCCTCTCCATGTGAGGAAAAATGTCTTTACTGTGAGGTTGACAGAGCCCTGGAACAGGCTGCCCAGAGAGGTTTTCAAGTGTTCTTCTTTGGAGATCTTCAAAACTTGCCTGGACACAACCCTGTGCCATGTGCTGTAGGCATCCCTGCTTGAGCAGAGGGGTTGGACTAGATGATCTCTAGTGGTCGCTTCCAACCTCAACCACTCTGTGAGTCTGTGTGATTCTGTAGGGTTGGTCAGAGCTCTGCAGTCTTGTCCTGATCCCTTGCAGATTGCTTGGCTGTGCCTGATGCTGGTTACCAGACTTGCTCTGCTCCTCCTGTCCGGTCACTGAGGTACTGCGCCTCTCATCAGTGGGTTGCTGTTCCATCTGTGTTGCCAGAACCCTCAACTCCCAACTCCCCTTCCTCTACAGAGCAGGCCTGCCCTTGCTACTCCTGACAGCATACTCTTTGTAGCAGGAACCTAATCACAAATGGTGCATGAACAGTTGAGCTGTGATACAGAAGAACCTGCTCTTCTAACCCATTATAAAAATAGACTGCATTCCCTGTGAATGAGTGGACTCACTCAATGGATAATTATTGGAAGTGACACTGTACCCATTGAAATAATTTCCTCAGAGCATCCTTGAGCTCCTTGTTCCTCAAACTGTAGATGAGAGGGTTCACTGTTGGAGGCACCACTGCATACAGAAAAGACACCACCAGATCCAGAGCTGGGAAGGAGACGGAGGTGGGCTTCAGGTAAGCAAACATGACAGTGCTGACAAACAGGGCAACCACAACCAGGTGAGGGAGGCACATGGAAAAGGCTTTGTGCCGGCCCTGCTCAAAGGGGATTCTCAGCACAGCAGTGAAGATCTGCACATAGGACAGAACAATGAACACAAAACACCCAAAGACTAAACAGCCATGAACCACAATAAGGACATCTTCCCTGAGGTAGGCATCTGAGCAGGACAGCTTGAGAATCTGATCGATTTCACAAAAGAACTGCTCCACCACATTGCCTTGGCAGAGGGGTATTGAAAAGGTGTTTCCAGTGTGCAGGACAGCAAGAAGAATGCCACTGCCCCAGGCAGCTAGTGCCATATTGCAACAAGCTTTGGTGCCCATAAGGGTCCCATAGTGCAGAGGTCTGCATATGGCAACAAAGCGATCGTAGGCCATGGCAGTGAGAAGAAAATATTCTGCCACGAGTAAGAAAACAAGCAGAAAGACCTGGGCAGCACATCCCGAGTAGGAAATTGTCCTTGCGTCCCTGAGAGAATTGGCCATGAATTTAGGGACAGTGACAGAGATGGTTCCGAGATCAAGGAGGGAGAGATTGAAAAGAAAGAAGTACATGGGGGTGTGGAGGCGGTGGTCATAGGCTACGGCTGTGATGATGAGGCTGTTGCCCAGAAGGGCCACCAGGTACATGCACAGAAAAAGACTGAAAAGCAACAGCTGCAGCTCCCGTGTGTCTGTGAATATCAGGAGAAGGAACTCGTTAACGGAGGTGCTGTTAGACATTTGCTGCTTTATGGCATGGGGGATGACCCCAAGAAAAAAGAAACTGAGAAGTAAGAAGGATATTTCAATAGTAATAAAACAAGGTTCATTCTTTCATAAACTCCCCATATTGCATCCCTTTGCTGAGAGGATTTATGTGCTCCATTTCGTACTGTCTGGATATGCTGCAAGGAGCAGAGGCCTCTGCCTATGGGCTGCACAGAATTCAGTCCCGGTGTATAGTATGGTTAGCAGGAATGAGAATGGGAATGAGTCTGACTGACATTCACAATTCCTGTCGTGTGAAATCCAGTTGTCACATGGAAAGGTTTTTCACATGTTCACCATCAGTTCTAATAAATCAGCATTGAGGAACAAACTATTAAGGATTTTAAAATGTTGCTTATTTTCTTTAAGATCTCCTTGTTACCCCTGGGAAGTATTGCTCAAAGGTGGAAATCTCTGTCATTCCTGTTGTAAATCCTATAATGAAAAACTCATTTTCATTTGGCAGAGAGTGAGGACTAGTCTATTAGCCTTCGTCCCAGCTGTCATGTGTTTCCACCTCTTTGATGTGGAAGATGATCCACTCATATGTTGCCCTGAAAAGAAAAGTCACCGTTGAGAGCACAGGAATCCAGTTTCAAGCTGCAGAACTTCTTTCCCTTTGTCAGATCACCAGCAGGACATCTCCGTATTCTAGCCAAGGACACACAAGGCTCTTTTCAGCGACCCCCATTTCCATACTCTTTGCATCTCTGTAGCTTCTTCATGAGTCTGTCATAGACATCACAGAGATGCTATGAGACAGCTGTGCCCTTCTGGAGAGCCCCTAGTCTGAGAGGATACCACAGGGAAATGGGCAAATGTCGTAAAGATGGTCTCTCCTTAAGGGAGAATATGCTCTTTTCCCAACAACATGGGCCAAACTTCCTGAGCCTTACAGCTCAGAAGCAGTTTGGGTCAACCTCTCTCCAATGCAGACCCCTCTTGCACAAGTCACAGGGTTGGTGTCTGAATTGCAGTTGAATACCTTGCCCCCTCCCTGATCCCAGGATGCTTGAGAGAAGAGCAAGAGCAGCATGGAGAGGAAGGGAAATACGGACCACCACCGTGGTCCTGCTGCCAAGGAAGGTAAACAGAGTTGGGCATGCTGCTTTGCAGACAGTGCTCTCACAGGGCAGTCACTCTCACTCCCTTCGTTGGGCAGCATGAAATGGGTCCATGTCAGGAAAGATACCCTCCTCCTACATCAGAGGTCTGACTGCAGAAAAGGTGTTGGACTCCATGCTTTTGAGGGCAGAGGTTCTGCTGTATGGCACATATGGGGCTTAATCAGAAGAAGAGAATATCTGCATCAGAGGGACTGCCCATGACTTGCCCAAGTCCATCCTCCCATGATGATTCTCATTATTCATCATCTCATTCCCTGCGCATCTCATTCCCTGCGCATCTCCTGCCTGGAGCTGTCCCAGCCAGATGTTTCTCCGTCCCAATGTCTTTTCCCTGCCAGTGCTCACAGACCCCATTCCATCTGCTTTGTGTGCTCAGTTCTGTTCTACAAAATTGTCCTGCCCCAGGGCATTGGTCAGGGGCATCTCTGTGCATGCAGGTCTTAAGGAGCAGGTCAGATAAAACCCAGTGAGGCCATAAAGGTTATGCTGGTGCTGTTTGTTGGCTGAGGAGGGGATTAAGGAATTTGCTGAGGTTTCTCACAAACCTATTGATCTCTGAGAATGAAGACTGAAGATTCCCAGTCACTAAAATAGAAAACTCTTTTGTTTTTTGTTTTTTTCTTCCCCTGCCAAAATAAGGAAACAGAAAATGCAGATAACAGAACAAAAGCTCCTTCCTTTCAAATAATCATTTTTTCACCTTGGTCTGGGAGAAAAAAAAAAAAAGAAAAAAGAAAAAAATTCCTCAAATATGCCCTGTACATGAGCTAGAGCTGTGAGCATCCCTGAATCATGCAGCACCCTCTCAACAGGTGAACCTGTCCTGCTGGGGTCAGACCTCCCACTCTGTGCTTCTTCCTGCTGCACCATGAGGAATTCCTCAGACATGCTAAGCGCTGATGCTTGCAAGTGGCAGAGTCGCTGCCCTAGGCACACAGCAGCCTGCAGCACAGGGACATTGCTCTGTATTACGGTCCAGAGCAGGCTTGGGTGCACACCCTGGCTTCACACCCCTGTAGCATCCCTGACAGAAGATAGCAGCATGCCTTGTCCTTCCAACAGTGTGACTGCTCTGAAGCATCTCCTTCTCTTCAAAAAGTCAGATGCGGCATCTCAAAAAATCTATCAGTCATGGGATGAGATGGGTTTAGAAGACCCCTTCAGCAACCCGAGTAGCATTGCTCCACAGACAGACACTTACCATGTCAAAAACTGCAGATTTCTCCAACAATGAGCACTCCTCTGCCCCCCCACTCCACACTGCTTTTCATTTCTGTCTTATGTCAGCAAGAGTAGGCAGTGCCTGGAAGCCTGCTACTCTTTGCAAAGGAACTGTTCCTGGACAGAGATGTCTCTTGGCAGTGCTACCAGGTTGCCAAGAGCTCCCTCTGTCCCTGGAGCTTGGTCCCACTTGGGAACAGTGGCCTTGCTGAAAAGTATGACTTTATTTTTCCTTTTACTCCCTCCTCCTGTGAGATGTTCACTGAAGCAAGCTAAAATAATGAGAATGCTACATTGCAAACAACTAATTTAATTTAGTGCAGACACTTGATTCAGTGATATACAAGTAGCCCAGCTGCATCATGTCAGATACTTGGGGTGTCTTGCACAACCATGTATCTCTAGCAGGTACAGCATCGGACCTATAGCAAAACCATGCCCTTCAGGATGGGTTGCTAAGCAAGTGCTCGAGGCCATCTCAGCTTTCCTCCTTGTGCCCAAGTAAATGAATCCCTCCAACATCTTTAGGCCAAGTCCATGATGTCTACATCCAACCATCTTGCATAGATGGGAGGCACATTACACCAAGATCTTCACTTGGTCATTTCTGAAGATTGATTCACCTTTGTCACAGGTCACATAGTGCCACAAATCAGGTCAGGCAGCACATTCCTCTCCTGCCATTCCTGCAGAGCCCACCTCTGTTTCTACCAGGCCTCGGGTACTGAAATATTTGTTGTCAGACTGGGAACCTCATTTCACCATTACAGTGCCTGACAGCCAAACGCTATGCAGATGGCTGTTAATTTTGTAGAGACACTTGAGTTTCAGTGCTTCATAGGGCACAGCTGGATGTGTGGCTGCTGTTTGTGCTTATGAGGTCACTTTTTCCTTGTTGTGTGGTTTTGAGGTCAGTTATGCCCAAGGGCCCAACTGGCCAGTGCTGGTTATGAAGTTGCTGTTTATTGTTAGGTCACTTCTGCCTCAGTGCCTGGTACGCCAGTGCTAGGTCTATGGCTGCTGCTTCTCGTTGTGAGTTTACTTTTCTTTCAGTGACTTAAAGACCAGTTTCTGGCCCATGGCTCTTTCTTACCGTTGTGAGGTCTCCTGTGTCATAGTGCCTGATAGGCTAGTGGTGGTCACTGGATAACGCTTGGGGTGTTGGCATCTACTTCTGCCTCAGTGCTGGACAGGCCAGTACTAAGCTCTGGGCTCCTGTTTGTGGTCAAGAGGTCACAGATGCTTCAGGGATCTCAGAAGCCCAGCATCATGGCTGCTGTTTGTCGTGCTGAGGTCATTCGGGCCTCAGTGCGTCACAGAACACTGCTAGGCACATGGCTGCTGTGTGCGTTGTGAGGTCGCTTGTACCTCACAAGTGCCCTGTAGGCCAGTGGTTGTCACGAAGTTGCTCTTTGGCATTTTGAGGTGTCTTCTGCATCAATGTCTGATAGGCCAATGCTGGTGTTTTAGTCACTATCTGTGGCCGTCAGGTCACTTGTGTTACAGGACCTGATAGGCCAGTTCTAGGCCCACAGATACCTTCTGCTGTTGTGAGATCGCCTCTTCCTGAAGCCTAAATAGGCCAGTCTATGGCCATGGCTGCTCTTTGTGCATGTGAGGTGACTTGTGCCTCAGTCCCTTGTATGCCAGTCCTGATTATGTGTCTGCTTTTTGTGGTTATGAGGTCACTTGTGGTTCAGTGTCTGATGGGCTAGTGTTAGGTACATGACTGTGCTTGAGAGGTGATGTTTGTGGAGAAAATTTCCAAAATACTTTAGTTTTTTAGCGGAAGAACAGGAAATGTCACTTGGCCCTACAAGCGGAACCTTAGCCCTATTTTGTTGTTGGTGGTGGTGGGTTTTTGTTTTTGTGTTTGTTGTTGTTGTTCAAAGGTAACACCAAAAAGATAACACCACTCTACTTTTCTACCAAAAAGACCCACCATTCTACTGTGGGTCTTCTTGTAGAAATAGGATGTAGGAAAGAAGGGACAGAGTGCGTCCTTCCTCTTTTAGGTACAAAAGCTTTTTTTTTTTTTTTTTTTTTAAAGTCCTCAACTTCAAATTTTCTGCTCTGTATTACTTAAGGTAGAAATGTTATGCTGGAAAAAAGGAAACATACCCTTAACACACCTTAAAGTCCTCATCCAGAGGCCTCTTTATCCAGGAAACTTATCCCTGCGAGGCTCCCAAGCTATGGATCGGGCCAGGTAGCAAATCTGGTGAATTTTTTCCTATGTCTTCTAACTCTGGGGAATGCCATTTCTCATTTTTGGACTTTGTTTGGTTCTGGTGCTTTTCAGTGTCACCTTGGGCAGTACATCTCCTCTGAGCTCAGTCCCTGTACCCTGCACTCACTGCTTCCAGCATCCTGACTCTACTGGGGGTGTGTTGCGGGTTACCGTGGTGCTCGGAATACAAAGGACTTGAAGATACAAAGCAAGCACAACCACGGCCTACAGGGAAAGAGAGGTGGTCTGTTTGTATGGGAGAGTATTAAATGCTAAGAGGAGAGAGTCTGGAGTAAGATATGAATGTTGTCTTCAATCATTGCCATTAACTTGGGACACGGAGTAGTATAACGTGCATGTGTGCATGGGCTCCTCTGTTGGGCTTTGCTGGGAGAGGGTTAGCATTAAAGGCTGACTTCTGTGTTTCCAGTTAGCTGGAGCATGAGCAGCCAGCCCTGTCAACCACACTGGCTGCACCTGAGGCCCCTTATGTCCCCCCAGCTTTGTCATCTTTATGGATGCATCTCTCCAGAGGGGAGGATGCCCTCTGTGCCCTGTTGCACTTGCCTCCAGCACTGGCGGGCAGCGTGGGGTGTTGACATGCAGAGCTTGGCGTGGCCGGGCCTGGGTCCTGGGCAAGGGGACACCAGCAGGGCTGCCTGCTCCACAGGTGGACAATCTGCAGCCTGGTTGTGACGCCCCAGTGCCTGCCCTGGCTAACAGGGCCCTGTATGAGATCATGACACTTGGCCTCTCTCTGTGCTGGCTCCCGCTTTGCTGTATCCTCTGCCCAGCTTGATGGGTCTGGCCTTGCCTGCCCTGGTCACACATGGCTGTGTGGTCAGGGCCATGTGCATGTGAGTGGTCCTGCTCCCACAAAGCCTCCATCTCCCATCTAGCTGGGCCTCCTTCAATTTCCTTTGACCATATGCAGTTGCAAGACATCATTAGTTCCCTTATCCTTGCATCTGCCGCTCAGTGGCAGCGGAGTGCTTACAGCTTCTCATCAGCCATGCTGCCATTTCACCCGCCCGAGGTCCTTCTCACACTCCTGCTAGGCGCCTCACTGTGTGCCAGCGGGTTCTCTGCCACCTCCTCTCACTCCTGGCACCTTTTAACAAAGCACGCCAAAGGGAAAAGATGTGGGAAAGAAACACTGCTTCTTTTCCCAATGAGATTGCATAGTGCCAACAGTCCCATTCTAAAGATTGCACACAACTCAGCAGTTGCTTTCCTGTCTTTACTTGATTCACCTACCCACATGATGTCCACTACTGAGAGCTCTGCAAAATCAAAAGGGCAGAGGAGCAGCCAGAGGAGAACGAGGAGAGGTGAAATCTCCCTTCTCAATCTTTCTCCGTTTTTCTTCTATTTTGTTGTCGCTCCCTTCTGCATGGGAATGCTTTCTTTTTCTGCTTCTTTGCTCTTCCCTTTTCTGGGAAGAGCCTTCAAGACAGGAAGGAACTGACAGAGCCAAAGGGGCTTATTTTTGATGGGAGTATTTCCCAGCCCACTGCTCTGGTACTGACGAGCGACCTGAATCTGCTCAGTTGCTGCTGAAGTGATGCCCATCTTGCCCTCTGGACGCTGATGACAGGTGCAGCCAGCTGCTTTTACCAGAGTGCTCATGTGACCTGGCTTGCTGTGTTCGTCCTCTGCCTCAGGATCGGCAGCAAGGAATTTTTCCAGAGCTCCTGTCCTTATCTGGGCGCTTCCTGTCACTACGGCAAGATGTGCGCGTGTTTCCACTGCTGTAGTGCTGCTGAGGGCAGGTTTGCTCGCTTCTTTCCAGGTTGTGAGTGCACCTCCTCTTGGGAGAATGAGCACCCCTTTCCTGGGCATCGGTGTCATTTGGAGCCTCTTGCAGGGCTCCATTTCTCTTTAAATATCTTGAATTCTGCATTTCAAAAGAAGACATTCTAAGCTCTATGCAAACACAAAGCTTGGAAAAGCCCCTCCCGCAAACTCTTCCCACCAGGTAGTCCTACAGTTGTCTCAGGAGATGGAAAAACAAACAAAACCCAAGAGAACAAGAAAAAACAGTCTGCTTTAGCTCTTCAGTGCATATTTTGCACCTAGCACCTCTTTTGGTGCCTATTGGAAACAAATAAGCATCCCTTTTGAAAGGTCATGCAAAGAGCAGAGCATGGCTTAAAGAAGTTCTTTCTCTCTCTTTCTTTACGTATATACGCATGATGGATGTGTGTCCATCTTTCTCTTTGAAACTTTTCCCGAAAGCCCTGTCATCCTTGTTCCAGTGCTGAGGAATAAGCCATTCTGGTTTTGCTGTCTCAACGAATGTCTCAGCACTAAAAATAAACCAAGGAAATTTTAGAGTCTTTTGTTCATGGTTTGAGTATGATTAGGAACTGCTTCCAATGCCTTGCAAGGCTTCAGGAAGCTGGGCTGCAAGGAAAGAAGCACCAAGGTTGCACTCAGTTTAACATGAGCCACTGAGGGATTAAGGGATTCTGCCTGCAGCAGAGGAGCTGTGAAGAAAGCTGTCGTGTGGCAGAGAAAACACCACAATTTGGTGCCTCAACTCTTCTCTCTCTTCCCTCCACAAATACCTTCATCATATGAGGTGGATGCTGTGGTGCCAGAAGTGCAGCTTCTTATTAGCTCCTTATTAGCTCCCTGCTGCCCGAGGAGCGAAGGGGAGGAAGATGGCACTGGTGCATAAGAAGGGAGTTCTCTCCAGGTAGTTCATCATAGCGCCTTGGGAAACAACAGTCATCTCATCTGAGACATGTTCTGTTAGCCTCCCCGTGGGCTGAATCCCATCCTACCACATTCTAGGAGCAGCTGCCATGTCCTGCTGAAAATGTAAGCAAAACTACAAACTGAAAATTAGATACTAGTCTTCTTACCATGGCTGTCCCTTCCAGAGCAAGAACTCCTGCTTACACCACCTCTGGCCTGGCTTTCCCCTCATGTCAGTGCTCAACAGCTACAGAGAGCACATATGGAACAAGTCACACAAGTGCAGCAGGGGATGGTCAAGCAATGAAAGGTAATACATGGCATGGGGAATTCCACAAGGGACAGATTTGATTCTACTAATAGTCTTTTCCTGCCAGGACAGAAAGAAAAGCTCAGAGGGGGAGAAGGAGAGAAGGTTGAGTAGTGCCAAAAGGAAATGTACCCTGAACCCACTGGACTACTTGCTCTTACCTGATATAAAAAAGTAAATACACCTGCTGACTGAGGACGGTTTGATGTCACGGGGGACGACCAAGTCATCGTTCATCTCGTACCACAGCTCATTACTGGCCTACAAATAAAATCGGCAATGCCTTTAGAGCTAGTGCGTGGTTTCTTCAGGAAAACCCCAAGAGAACACTACGAGACAGAGCATGCTTCAAGACTAGTCACAAGGAGACACCTTACAAGTCCTTTTCCCTCGAAAGCAGTGGCTGCCAGTAAGAGGCTGGGGCAAGTTTCTCTTCAGCAACACAGAGTTTACCCTGCAAGAAATGGAGCTGATACTTACTTAACTTGGTCAAGCAGATATAGTGTCCTGCATGACCACTGATCCCTCTGCGCACCAGGACAATGCATAAGGCGCAGAGGACGCGTTCTCCAACGCGCTGAGACATGTCAAAGGTCCAAATACTCTGGGTAGTCCACATCCTGAAGACAGAGCAAGGTTCAAACCCATTTGGGAACCTTGTATGAAAGACAGAGAAGAAAACATGCCTGAGAACATGGGCTAGACCCTTTTTGATAGACACTTCCTCTGCTTCCTCAGAGATCAATCCCCAAGACAGCATTTAATCATTTCAGTTGCAGGAACTGCTCAATACAAAATTAACTCCTGAAGAGCAGAGCGCACACTTACCATCGCATGAGAACTTTACTGTTTCTGGAAGAGAAAATGTAAGACCTACTTCTCGTGCTGATTTTTCCTAGGCATTTTCCGTTGCTACAGTTACACTTGGCAGATATTAGCAACTTTCAGAGGAGTCTTCTGCCATGGGAAACCTCCCTGCCCAAGAAGGCTGCACACATACCTTACTAGTCTTCTCGCCAGCAAAATCAGCAAATCTTTTCAGTGCTGTGGTGAGAACACTGGGAGAGGGATGTACTGTAAGCCCGTTGGATGCAGCACCATCTTTTCACACCTTCAAAGCAAGCACAGGTATTTGTTTCAACCCACTGGCAGAACAGCTAGCTGCAGTTTCCACAATTCAAGAACAGCGCAAGGAGTTCTGCTAGTAAGCCAGCAGAGCTCATTCCAGGGGAGCCAGCTGAGGGTCACCTAGGCACACAGATGCCCTCCACAGGGTACACTAGCACATTCCAGAACATGTGGTGGCCTCCCATCCCAGATGCTTGTGCACAGCTCCTACCTGCTTGAGCTCACTGCTACACAGAGGATGCAACTTTTAACTCCTGCCTGTTGGAAGAGGTTGTTGCACAGCTTCACAGTTAGCAAGGTTGACCATCTCTGGGAAGACAGCACAAGGAAGAAAATTCTCCTGTGCTTCTCAGAAAAGATTTCCAGCAACTTGCACAGAATAAGAAAGGCTCTGCTTTGAGAACCAAGTGTACCCTTTTCTAGCTTTGGGTGACTTCAGGGCACCACAAAAAGCTGCATCTCATCCTCTTGTTTATCTTTTTGAGTTAAGTCAAAGGATAACTTCTGCTTGGAGGCAGGCAGGATCTCCTATGTGGGTGGCATCAGAAAGAATCTTACTTGCTGCACTTGCAGTAATTGTCACCATTTAGCAGCTCAGGTCTCACAAATCCCCTCTAGTCTGCTGGGGACAGAGGACGCTGCCTGGATGAGGAAGAAAGTAGAACACTGAGTTCCTGGAAACTCACATCCCAACCCAAGACTGCTCTTTTGCTGCAGGGCGTCCCTTGTTAACATCCGTGAATCCTACTGCAAAGCAGTGAGCACTGGGAAGAAGGGAGCTGAAGGAGAGTGTGCCCAACACTGACCTTGCTTGAAAGTCTTGACAACACTGGGAAGTCTTGAAAGCCTTCTTTGAAAGTCTCTATTAAATTACTTGTATACAAAGAGCTACCTGTCCATGGTTCCGCGCAAGGAACACATGCCTTTGTATACGTAACAAAGCCAAAAAAACAAAGCAAACAAAGCCCCCAAACAAAGCAATAGAAAAGTCATTGTATACCAATCAGAAGTGTACATAAGTAGTACTGAGAAAGTATCATAGGATGAGCATGTGTGCAGAGCAACCACCCAGCCATTACCCCACCTTTTTGCTATGAACAGCATACATTCCTAAGAAAACTCTGACGATTTGAGAAAGACACAGAAGACCAAAATTCAAAATCTCAGCACCTTCAGAGGCATCTTCAAACAAAATTTCAAAACCTTTTACCTTTATCTCCAAAGGGATATCGAGGGACACCTCAGAAAACTGTGAAAGTGCTTGGTGGCTCAAGCATGTTACTGGAATCCCAACAGAAGGACCTTAAAAAATCAGAAGGACACTCACTTTGTCTATTGCCATTATGGAGATCCACTATTTCACTCGCACTGCACACTCTTTGTGACAAACATGCACAAAGGCACAGTTCTAAGGGCAGTAATATCAAAGAGTACCTCTGGATGTTAGGAATCCTGCAAATATTTGGAGAATGACAATATTACCATGCAATGCATGAAATGCTAGAGAAAACTGAAAGGATAAATTGGTTCTGCTTACTTGGTGCCTCCTTTCAAGCAAGCAGTGTGCATACCACCCACGGTGTAATGTGAGAATTTATGAGCATCTTCCTGCTTGTCACAGCAGAAACGCTCCCCTCTTCCTCGTAAATATGAAGAGTTATACAATATTTATCTTGTAAGAAGGGACTGTATAGATACCTTACGAATCTTTTTGACAGCAAAATCAGCAAATTCTCCAAATGCGTTGCACCCCTGCAAATTCAGGTGTTTCTACAAAGAATGCCTTCTGAAAAGACTTACGTGTAAGGTCGCTGAAGACAGCCAGAGGCTCAATGGCATTTTCAGAGCAGGACAGGACCTCGTTCACATGTGTTTCATTGTATACAGCATGCAGAAACCTTGCTCACGATCTGTTGAATGTCAAGGAAGAAACCACCTTGTTCTAGTGAAGGTCACCTATGTTCCAGTGGAAAACCTCAAGTAACAAAAATGTTGAAGCTGTAAGTGCACTCTCTGCCCTTCATTCCACTTGGTCTTCTCAAAAGTGCCAAGAGTCCAGTTTCCCTCCCTCCATTCGGTCCTTTGGGCAGCACCTGCCTGGTGCCCGCCCCTGTTCCCCATGGACCCCACTGCACAACTGCCTCGCCTCACCTGGCCCTTCTTGGTGCCCCCTCTGCCTGGACTCTGAAGCTGGGAGGCTGGGTCCCCAATGGACTCACCCATTCTCCCTGCACCACAGAGGCTGGCAGGTGGTCCAAGCAATCCTGTCAGTGTCCGTGGGACCCAGCCAAGCCTGGGTGCCTGGGCTGCCCTGTAAATGCATAAAGGGTTGCCCCAGACAGGAAGTGTGGGTGCCCCCACTCTTCTTGTATGGGTGCCCCCACTCTTCTTGTATGGGTTTGCGTGCACTCCCCATCCTCCCCGCTACCAAATCTGCACTTGCATGGTTCTGTGAAGTGAGGCCTCTCTCTCTTGTGTAGTCCATCCCTCAGCAGTTAGCCTTGGCACAAGGAGAGACATGGTGCAGAAGGCGGGGGTGGTCCTCAGGATCCACATCATGCTGCCCAGATCCCCGCTCTTGCAGTGGGGACCGAAAGCCAGACAATTCATAGCAGTGGATCACTCGACTTGTGTCGATGAAGAACGCAGCTAACTGCAAGAATTAAAGTGAATTGCAGGACAATTGATAATTGACATTCCAACGCACTTGTGGCCACGGGCTCCTCCTGGGGCTACACCTGCCTGTGGGTCGCTTGACGGTCCGTTGTCTCCTGCACTGTGCCAGCGTTATTGTGCCATCCCTCAGGGAAGGACTGAGGGGACAGGGCATGGTGGTGGCATCTGCAATGGTTAGTGTGGTGGCAGAGGAGCCTGGGGCCCTGGCGGGTGTGCTGGTGTCCCCAGACACACAGCTGCACCCCCTGGCTGCGGCGCCCGTCTGCCTGCACCGGCTGTGGGTGCCGTGCAGCGTCTCATCGCAGCCACCCTCCACCTCCGCCGCGCCCCCGTGTTCTGGGAGCAGCAATGGCTGCCACGGCGCCACATGGCCTGTGGTGTGGAATACCTGGAGCGCCTCGCAGGCCCGCGCCCCATGCAGCCTTCATCCCCTTACGTGCAGACTCGGGCCAAAGCCCCGCTCCCAAAGTGCCTGCTCTGCGTAGTTCATCCCGCTGGACCCTCGATGCAACTGAGACGTAGTGGTCCAGTGACCGTCACCTCCCATCCACCACCACCGCCTGGGCCAGTTGTCCTGCGCTCTGCCGGTGGTGTGCTCTGCCTCCATCCCTCTCTCCTGCCATGTGCGGGGCAAGAGTAGAGGCAGTGGCTGTGAAGGCGAGAGGAGGAGGCAAGGTGTGCCCTGGGTGTGGGAGCATGCAGCGTTGTGTGAGCAAGCGGAGTCCGTGTGTTTGGGTGCCGGAGCGGGGGGATGTGGGCCCCGTGCCAGGCCCACACACGGCTGTCTGCAAGTAGGGCACCACGGCAGTCCTGCATGGTGCTCCCACGCACACGCACCCATGGGCAGCTCGCCTCACACGCTCCATGGCTGCCAGCATGCAGTGTTGTCTACTGCTACCGAGCCCTTCTCCTCAGTGACCTTGGGTGGGGTCGCCTCAGGCAGTAAGTGAAAAGTGGGAGGAACAGCAGCACTCCCTGGAGTGGGGGTCAGGGAGTGCCCAGTGCCCTTGGCACCTGCTGCCCTGAGCAGGGTGGTTGTGCCGCGACATGGTCCCAGAGAGGTGGTGCCGCGCTGCGGCTCCCAGAGCGCCAGTCCAGCTGCAGCACAGACCCAGCTGCAGTGCCCCTCTACTCACCCCCTGGGCCCTGCCATGGGCCGCATGCCGAGCTCTAGCACAGCTGCCTTAGGAAGGCAACGCGGCGCAGCAAGCGGGGCGGGCAGCACAGGGCAATGGTGGCAGCGGTGGCATGGGGCGCGAACCACACAGAAGGAATGCAGGTGAAAACTACTATGAAAGAATAAAGTAAGATTAAATAAAAAAATAGAGAAAAAGAGTGTGAACACTTAAAAAATAACACCGACCATTCAGAAAACAAACCAAAATATTAAAAAGGAGCAAGTGGTGGGCACCCCTGCCCCTGCCAGAGCCCGCGTGCCTCCTACCTTGCCAAGGGGCGAATGCAGCAGCCGTCTCAGGGAGCTCGGGTGGCCGGGCGCAGGGAGCAGGGGAGGCTGGGGAGCGCCTGCAGCAGCTCCAGGGCGGTTTGGAAGGAGGAGGCGGCCTCCGAAGGAGGGGGTGGCCTCGAGGCATGGCGCCGCGCCTCTCTCATGGTGCCTTCAGGTGCCGGTACAACAGCACGCATTCATCCGCAGCGCCCCAGTCCCCTCCGCCCCAGCCGCGTGTCTGCTGCCAACTCTGAGCTCTGCCATGCAGCCAGTTCTCCTGTCCACCTCACTGTCCACTCATCTATCCCGCACCTCCGGAGCGTGACCAGGAGGATGCTGTGAGGGACGGTGTCAAAAGCCTAGCTGAAATCTTACTCATAGGGATGCACCGATCCTGAGCTCTTGGAAGGCAATAGACCTCTCTGGATAAGGCGTTGGGTCTGCAGATTGGTGCCTCCATGCCCTGCAGCAGGGAGTCACCCACAACAATCACTCCACTGCTTCTTCTAGGTGCTTCTTTTCTCCTGCAAGAAGTGGGACTAAAGAGAAACATCACAGTACTGCCTGCCACTTTCCAAAATGCCAGGGCACCTCAGATGAGCCTGAAGAAGGAGCTCTGGAAGAACCCAAAAAATGGCAGTATGAAAAATGTGTCTAGCAACTTAAGACCAAAAATGATCTCTGTCAGCGTAAAAGATCTGTGCACCCTGTGGTTAGACAGCAGCTTGAGATAGCTTCTCCTGCCAGCTCACGTCTACAGATTGGTACTTCTATGGTAAGGTGGGTGTGTATGATAAGTGTGCTCCAGCCAACTCAGTGCTGTAATCATCTGTAGGAAAAGGGTACCACAATGCTGAGGTGGGAGCATGCACTGTGCAGCGCATTCCAGTGTGCTTGCTGCTGCCATTGCATATCCAAAAATTGGTACTGGAAAGGTAAGGGAGGGTTTGCACGTGTAGTAGTAGCAGACTGCGCTTGCTGCTGCCATCCTATGTCTGGAAATCTGGCCCTGGAATGGAAAAGGAGGGTGTGCATGCAGGCAAAGTGTGCTCCGGTGCACTGGCTGCTGCCAGCACTTGGGGGAATATGGGTACTGCAACATGCTGTGGGCGGGTGGTCGCACGTGCAGTGCACTCCAGCACACTGGCTGCTACCACGGCTTGCAAATTGGTACCGCTGTGGTAAAGCGGAGCGGCACACATGAGCACGCGCTCCGGTGTGATCGCTGCTGCACTCATGTGTTCATCAAATTGGTACTGGAGCAGTCAGCGCATGCAATGTGTTCTCTGGCGCGCCCGCTGCTGCCCTCATGTATTGGAAAATGCTTCATGTATTGGAAAATGGGTACTAGAGCACTAAGGTGAGGTTCCTATGCGCAGTGCTCCTGCGTGCTCGATGCCATCGTGAGTCTCAAAATCTGTACTGCAACACTGGGGTCAGGGGTGTGCATGCACAGCACACTCTGCGCTTGCTGCTGCCTTGCTGTGTTGGAAAATCTCCTCTCCTTGCATCACAGTGCAGCAGCAGCACTTCTGTCACAGGCCTTGCTCCACGGGTTGCAGGCACGCTCCTCGCGTACTTTTTGGCCAGCATGAGAACTCCTCATTGTCTTGCAGGGACATGCCCAGATTTCCTTGCAATTTCATGACTCCAGCCTTGGGGAGGCAGAGTTGGCTTTGGAGGAGGATGCCCAGTGCTTGCAGCCAGGGCAGGACATGTGCGTGTGCCTGTTAAGGTGCAAGGGGGACCTGGTGTTGGCATGCCCTATTTCCAAGGGCTGTGCTGTAGCCTGGCCATGCCCCTCCAGTGCCATGTGCCAAGGTGCAAGGGGATCACTCTTGGCTGCCCAAAATGCATTGTGCTGATCTAACAAGGAATCCCATGCTAGTCCCCGTTAGCTGAGAGAGCACTGCACTGCTGTCCTTGAAGCAGGCCTCCACAGTGCTCCCCTGAGCGAGTGCACACGGAGGCCTGCGGAGGCTGCACCAAAGCCCATAGTAGCCCCCCGACCCAGTGTGCGTGGAGGCGTGGGGAAGCTGCATAAAAGCCCATAGGGCCCCCATGGCCCAGCGCACATGGAGGCCTGGGGAACTTGCATGAAAGCCTGTAAGGTTCCACTGTGCACAGAGGCCCGAGGAGGCCGCATGAAAGCCTGTAGGGCATCTCTTGTTGCAGTGTGCACAGAGGCCCGGGGAGGCCACACAAAACCCTGTAGGGCCTTCCCGGCACGGTGCGCACAGAGAGCCAAGGAGGTCACACTGGCTCATCCCCTGGCTTAGTGCGCACTAAAGGGGACCAGTGCGTACGGAGGCCCAGAGAGGCTGCACGAAAGCCCGTATGGACCCAGAGGCCCAGTGCGCATGGATGCCTGGGGATGCCACATGAAATCTTTTAATTCCTCCCACCTGGTGTGCAAGGAGGCCTATGGAGGCTGCACGAAAGCCCGAAGGGCCCCAGGGGCCCAGTGTGCATGGAGGGCTGAGGAGGCTGCTCGTAAGCCTGTAGGGCCCCTCCAGCCCAGTATGCCTGGAGACTGGGAGAGACCGCACAAAAGACTGTAGGACCTTGCTGGTCCAATATGGATGGAGGCCCACACAAAAGCCCATAGGTTTCACCCGGTGTGAATGGAGTGAATTCACATAGTGGGTATGGAGGCCTGCGGAGGCTGAAGGAATGCTCCTATGACCCCCATTGCAGTGTGCACAGAGGCCTGGGGAGGCCACACAAAGTCCCGTAGGGCCCCTCCAGCACAGTGTACACAGAGGCCCAGGAAGGGCGGACGAAATCCAATAGGACCTCCCCTCGCAAAGTTACCATGGAGGCCCAGGGAGGCTACACAAAAGCCCATAGGGCCCCAGAAGCCTAGTGCACATAGAAGTCCAGGGAGGCCACATGAAATCCCGTGGGGCCCCTGGTGCCCAGCGCACATGGAACCCTGGGGAGGCCGCACAAAAGCCTGTAGGGTCCCCTCAGCACAATGAGCACGGAGGCCCAGGGAGGCCAGTCGAAAGCCAGTAGGGTCTCCTGGGCCCAGTGCGCATGAAGGTTTCCATGGTCCACACAAAAGCCTGTCAGGCCTCCCTGGCCCAGTGTGCATGGAGGCCCCATGGGGCCACACAAAACCCCTTATGGCCCCTCTTTGTGTGCGCGGAAACCTCAGGGGATCACATGAAGGGCCACATGGCTT